ACTACATTATGCAACGATATTTAAACAATATTTTTTAAATGGGTAAATGGCCTAATTTAATTAAGAGAATACTTAAAGTATTTCACTTAACTTTAATCCTTCTAAGATAAATAAATGATGGCAATAATGACATTATATTAAAATTTTTGGGGCATTTACATGCCTATCACTTTCATATTCATATTTACATGCATACTGCTTAAATTCTTTAATCACATGAAAATATCACCATCATTATATTCTTAAAAAAGAAATAAACATTTTTATACACAAGTTTATAACACTAATATATTATAAGTGTAAATATGAAACTTTGGATATTTGATACGTAAATACATGCAATATCAAACTTTGGGCGTTTGATATGCATGAGGATTTTGTGACATGCATGTAAATTCCCAAAAAATTTGAAGCTAAGAAGTGGGAAGTTGATTCTTTTTGGGCTTTCAATGGAAGTTGGATTGAGTAGGCCAAAATTTGGAGCCTCTATGCAAGTAGTTCAAGGTAAAATGCTTGCTCTCAAGGTAAAATAAGATTGTAGGAAAATTAAAACTAATATAGGATGAATATAAACTACAGAATGTGTTTGTTTGGAGGCAACTCGTATAATTTAATTAACTCTTAGTTTGAGGCATGTTAAATTCACAATTTTAATCGACTTTAGAAGTAAAATCATAATTTTGATACTAGTTTTAAATATTTATGTTAACTAAAGCCCGTAAAAAAAAAGAGTTAAGAAAGAAAATGTCAACATTAAATAATGATCAAATCATGAACACGCTGTAACAAAATTGGTAATATAGTTACAAAGCAGCTGAAGTTTATTGAATAATCTGCTGATAAGCTGATTAAAAATAATTTGTTGATAAGCTAGGTGCGGTGGCTATTATAAATTTTTATTTTTTTAGAAAAGCCAGACCGCTATCAGAAAGCTATCATCGCACCAAAAAAAGTGCGGTGTGAAAACACTGTTTTCAGCGTTTTGAAAACGCATAATCTATCAAAACACAGTTTATCCAAACAGGCTAGGTGTGTTATCAAAACACCACATCACCAAATAAACTGCCCCAAACGGACCCTGAATGTGAGATCTATGGACAGTCTTTTGTTAGAGTGATCTTTCCCCTTAGGAAGTTCTGACAAGCTGACAAGATTAAAGAATGATAAAATCATGCATATGTTTTAACAAAATTGGCAAGTTACAAATTGAATGTGACATCTTGGAATAGTCCATTGTTAGAGGGAATTTTTCCCTTCTTAGGAGGTTGTCACAAACTCGCTCATTTAAGTGATCTCATTTAAGCAAATAAGAAAGCAACATAATAGAATAATAATAATAATATTTTCATTTGAAAAACGAGCAACATTAAATGAAGTAAGGTAATGGAAGGGGAAGGAGCCAACTATAATATTAATGAGACATGTAAAAAAAATGAAGTCACAACTCACTCTTACTGTGATAAAATCAATATTCGTACCATCAAGAGGATTCCAAACATGTTAATTGGGCTAAGTTCATATCTATGCATCCTCATACACATGACAGAAAATATATCACATAATAGAAGGCTTTAATTAGTAAGAACTTGTTTAAAAACTTAGAAGTAAAAATATAGTAGAAACAATCATGCATATTCGACATACGTAATGATTTAGGTTGTAGAAATGCAACTAAGATGATGATTGTGATGCTCCATGTTGGCACCCTTTAGCTAAAAAAAAAAATGAAAAAAGTAATAAACTTATTTTAAAAATATTTCAAAAATAATAATGTTTTTGGACCTAAGGTTTAAAGTTATATAACATATTTTGGAATTGTTGAGTCTTCTCGGGCCAATAATGATGATTTAAGGGATGTTTTATTTACTATTGCTCTATATTATGGTACTGAAGCTAATTATATTATTATTCATTTTTTTTTGCATTACATTAATAAATTGTACAATGATATGCTCACT